GGTGCTGGAAACAAAACTTGCCAGTCCAAAGAAACAGGAGAAGCCACGTCGGGCCGGTCCTGTGCAGATCGCACTACCAACTCCAAGGCCACCCGTTCGTGGTCGCTCAGCACGTGTCGAGACCGAGTGCGTCGTCTCGAAGTCAAATTCTGCTGGGGGCAAACAACTTGTGGTGTGCTCTAGTGTGACATGTCTGATTCCATGTGCCATCACATTGGCATGTGCCCGGCTATCTGCAAATGCCACAACACAGGTGATTATACATTATGAACTAAGCGTACATATCATATGTACATCATACATTACACATATATATATATATATATAAACATTACAGAAGTGTTGGACGGTGAAGAGAGAGGCGGAAAGAGAGCAAAACAGAGCGCGAGGGGGAGAGAGAGAGAGAGAGAGAGAAAGAAAAAGCAAGTGAGCGAGAGAGAGAGAGACGGAAAGAGAGAGAGAGAGAGAGAGAAAAAAAAAAGAGACAGAGACAGAAAGAGAGTGAGAGAGAGAGAGACAGAAAGAGACAGAAGGAGAGTGAGGGACAGAGAGACCGTGAGAGGAAGCGACCGCTTTCTGCATGCCATGCATCTAGACAGGACGGTCCGACCGTATTGCAGGAATGCATCAAATGCAGATCACAAAGTTGTAATCAATCCATTTGCCATGTAGTGCAACTTAGCAAGACTTTTCCGGCTGCATCCTACCGCCTTATTCTGTCCTCCCGGTTGCGAAATGAGCACAGCCTCATGTTTGCTTTGGCCCAATCAGTGAAGAGCCCAGGCTCAGCCCATTATGTTTCATGCTCAAACACGCAATCATAAAGCCAAGCACTTGGAGTAAAGTTGTTTATGATACCATGGACCCGCAAGGGGGCTATGGGGAGGGGGGGCTATCCCTTGTTAACCCCTTCATGAGGTCTTAAGGGCTTCTCCTTGGCTTATCCAGGCCCCCCCCCCCCATAGCCTCCTTTAAGTCCCGATTCAATCGGACAGGATCCAACTGAATCCGGAGCTCCCAAGTGATGCCTTCTCCTGGTCCAACGCACCATTCGGGTCAAAACGAAGGAGCAACGCACAAGGTGTCTTCTGCTAAGGGTAGTTGTCATGCGCTTGAGACAAGTGTGTCAAACGTTCAACCCGCTTTCTCTCCAGTGGTGTTTCCAAAAAAAAAGGACGCGCCCACATCTAAAGGAACACAACTCTCAATGGCCAAACAACTCGCAAAGCAATACACTAGTATGAGTGGATGCGACGGATGTCGTCATGTGTGTATAAACATATTATGTAAAAATATTATGTATGTATATATATATATATTATACGTGTATATATGTATATTGTGCAATATATATATATATATATATATATGTGTCGGAGCTTTCACAGCCTCATGAGAACTATACTGCAGGATTGAGCTCAAACCCCTGCGAGTCATGTGTGTTTCACGTGCAAACAAGTGCTTGGATGTCAGATGGGCCAATCATCCAACATGCCATCTCACGGTATAATCAATAATGAATCCTTGTAGGTCCTAGTCACTGGTTGCTTGCTGTAGGTCCTGGTTACTTGTAGGTCCCTGTAGTTCTTTTGTAGGTCCTAGTTGCTGTAGGTCCCAGCATGTTGAATATTTGGGTCTTGCAAAGAATGGACCCGTTGCCTCCCAGCAATACACGAGCAACATGGTCATATATTGAGACCAAGGAGTTCCGGAAAATGAAAGGCCCGAGCAACTCTGCTCCCACTGCAAGCGTTGCAGTGGCTCATGGGAATGGCCGCAGAAAAACCTACCACTTTATTTCACTGTTTGACTGCCACAAGCCGGACTTAAACGCAGGGTTCCTCTTTTGGGGACATCAGCCACCCCTTGGTTTAAGTCTACCTTGGGGTAGTCCAAAGGCGGAACCCTGCTTTGAATGAAGGGTAACCGGCTTTTCATCCTGACCAAGACCAAGCCTTGCAGTCATAGGCGGCTTTTGGAAAAATAGGCCCTGGGTAAAGAGAAATAAACCGCATCTAAACCAGGGCCCTCGATTTTTTAAGCAATCCCAAAAGGACACCTATGCTCAGAACTTGCGATGTCGTTCTCAAAAAGTCGCTGGCTCAACTCGTGGGCCCATGGAAAACGAACCATGGCCCGTCGAAGAGCGAAACAAGGAAAAAATGGGAAACCAAGAAACAAACCAGGAAACTAAGAAACCAAGAAACTCCAGGAACTGACAACAATGTGAGAACAAAGGGGAAATCGGGAAACATGTCACTCTTGAACTCCATTTAAATCCAGGAGCTAAAAAGGCTTGAAGTCCAACCAGTGAAAAAAAAGCTTGAAGTCCAGGAACTGAAAAACAACTAAAACAACTTGAAGTCCAGGAACTAGATGTGAGAACAAAGGGGAAAGCAAGGAACAACAAAGAGAAAGGGGCCAAGAGTTGCTCGGCCTTTGGCACAGCTCACCGTCCTCGCGTGCCCAGCTTGGAGGGCCGCAGCGAGGCAGCGGAGACACAATTGCCGCTTCAGCTAATTCATCGAGGGACGCCATCTGGAAAGGTGGGAACACAAATCACGAGACGTGCGAGGATTCTCCATCCTTGGCTCATTGGTTTTTGTTTTAAATTTGATAGGGGCTCTGCACATCGGATGTTTACTCACTGATCTTCCGTTTGAAACACTCCGAGAGCAAATCAGCAGTGCCTTTCAGGCCGCTCGCTCTTCGCAGTCCAGGGGGCGCAAACGGAACTATTCACTGATCCGATCGAAGCGTTTCCGAAAAACTGAACACCCTTCGAAGAGAGCCTTTAATCCTCCACTTCCTGGAGTCGCTGGGAAACAAGCAACATCATCCGGTAGTCTTTGAAACCAACAGGGGAAAATAATCAATATTCATTTCAGCAAATGGAAGTAATTGTTTGGGGAGCCAAGCCCCAAATGCAAACGACTCTTTGGGTTCGCTTAATTTTCGGAACACGCAATCGGAACTGGCACTGGCACTGCCACGAAAATCAACCCATCATCCTGGCGGCAAACGCAGCTGTCGACGAATCTTTGCAATTCCACCCGTGCGATTAAGCCTCGGACGTTGGGACCCTTGAGAAAGCTCAAAGCAACTTTGAACCTCGATCTCCTCATGAAGTGAGAGAGATTCAATTCAACTTGTGTGGCGGAAGATGAGGATAAGCAGCCATGGCGAGGAAAAGCTGGAGAAAGTCCAGCTAAAAGCTCATCTAGGTCCTCCGGTAGAGAGGTTAGAATAAGGGTACCAACTTTTTTTGTCTGTAGTCTATTTTAGTAGACGGACCCTCAGGGTTAAAAGGGCACTGGGGGACCTAGTCATCACACATCGTGCTAGCAAACGTTGCGCATCTGTTTTAGGCTCAGCCGCAAGGAACATGAACCAACACTCCAAACCTCCGGAACCATATTGCAAAGGTCGCAAACCCTTCGGTGAGGTCGCTATAATCTGAGAAACTTGGAGAGAGGATGCCCAGTGTCTGTTCGAATCACACGAATGAGCATGCAGTGTGTTATGGCGTCTGCTTTGTTCATGGCATCCGCCAGCAACTTGTGGAATGACCTCCCCAACGAAAAGGAGGTTGAACGAACAACTTAGGACCACATGGGAGCCTCGTCTTTTTTAGGATTCGGTCCCCCCAAAAATGGCGCAACGGGTTTGCTTTTGGTTTCCCCAACAAACTTATGAAAAATAGGGGCATATACTCAAACAAATAAGACCTCAAACTACCCTTACAAAAAGGGGAAACACCCCAGAATGTTGAGCAATCACCCATGTTTAAAGAGTAGTTGAGACTTGAGCATGTGTCCCACCCAACCGAGCTCATGGTGGTGGGCGAAAAACAACATGTTCCAGTCATGACTGCTGACTGCAAGTCAACTTTGCAAAAAGGCAAACCAAGAACGCCGGCCTGTCAAAGACATGATCATCTTCTCATTTGCTCGAAGGACCTGGGAACAAACAAGTCAACATTGGCACATGAACACCAAAAGGTCAAAAGGTCGGGAGCAATTGTGTCTTTCAGGGAACACAGCTTTGTTGTCATCCCGGGTCGTGTGAGGGTCGCACCCACAGGCCATCCCCTTTGTGGTCCGAGACAACTCCCCGCCTTGGTTGGGGGACTCCTGACGGCACGCGAGAAACCTTTCACGGGGATTTCTATGGCTGTGGAAGCCCCAAAATGGCACTCCAGCTTGCTTCGGCAGAATTGAAAAATATTCGAGTCTGAAGAACATACCGAGGTTGATCAAAAGGTTCGCGATATGTGGCATGATCATTGGTTGGGAAGCCACTAAAAAACACATGGATATGTCAAACATTAAAGCGGAAAAGTTGCCCATGGGTCATGTGGGGGCCGAAGGGAATATGAGTCAACCCCCAAATGGAATCAAAATGGCACCTGAATCACAAAAGGTTGCGAAAAACACCCCTCTGTGGCTCTTTGCAAAAACAAAAAAACACAAGGGGCCCGCCGCAAAAAAGGGAAACATGTGTTCACTTTTGAGCCACGGAGACAGAGAAAAGACGGAGCCGCCAAGTGCATGGAACAATTGCGGCTCGGGGCTTGAAAAAGGGGCCATTGGCCAGAAAGGTGATGATTGAAATCCTTTCAGACAATTATGCGTTCGGAGTTCGGACTCCTGGCAATCTCAAACTGAAAATCTACCCAGCGCCCTTGGTGCATGAAACCCGGTTGCTCCCAAAGGAACTGCATGCACAGCTGCACGCTATGCAGCCAAGTATCCTAGAGTTGGAACCATGCCTCAAACAGTTGACACCAGACTGCGTGTCACTCGGGTTGCTCCCACAGGGCTTACTTTTTGACTTTCGACCGACTGGCAAAGTTAGGGAACCAATTCCTTTACAAATTCGATACATGGCCAACTGGCAATCCTTGCCGGATGACTTCCTTCAGAGGTTCCTTTGCAACCTAGATCTTAAGATCTTCACCAGAATGGCAACAGCTGGACCATCAGCCATTGAATATCCGCCTACCTACATGCAAACCTGCCAAATCTCCCGAGCTCCTCCTCCCACCCTTTCCGCTCCTGGTGAGACATCATTGCCATGAATTCCTGGAAGTCAATTTCACCATCACCGTTGGCGTCGAGCTCTTGCATAATCTGCTCTACCTGCCCGGGCGGCTGGGCTGCAGCTATAGCAGGCGCCAACAAGAGCCGACCCAAGCTCTATAAGAATGGCCCAAAAGCATCTGGATGTGGTTGACACTACAATTAGGTCCTCCAGTCGAGAGGTTAGAATAAGGGGACCATTTTTTTTCTGTATATAGTCTATTTTAGTAGGGAAACCCTCCCGCAAAAAAGGGTAAAAGGGCACTACTGGGGGACCTAGTCTGATGTGGTTGACACTACAACATACATTATACAACACCACGGCTGACCTTGCGCACACACTTGATACACGCAGACCCAATAAGAGACACAGAAAAAAAGGGCGCCAAAAAGACAAACCTTAGCACAGCAATGCAACACCTATACAACATCCATGCAAGACCTATGCAACCCGCAAGCCACGCGCACACCTATACAACATACAATGCATACACACACACACATTCATCAACGAGGGCACACAGGCACACAATGACAAGCCAGCCAGGGAGCCAGCCAGACAGACAGCCAGACAGACAGCCAGACAGCCAGACGGACGGACAGACAGAGACCCAGACCGAGACCGAGATCGAGCTAGAGATAGCGATAGAGATAGAAAAACATGAGACAGACAGGACAGAAACGGACAGACAGAAACACAGACAGACAGACAGACAGGCAGACAGGCAGGCAGGCAGGCAGGCAGACAGACAGACAGACACAGACAGACAGACAGACAGGCAGACAGACAAACAGAAAGACAGACAGAAACAGACAAAAACAGACAGACAGACAGGCAGGCAGGCAGACAGACAGACAGACAGGCAGGCAGGCAGACAGACAGACAACACAGACAGACAGACAGAGACACAGACAGACAAACAGACAGACAGAAACAGACAGACAGACAGCAGACAGGACAGGCAGGCAGACAGACAGACAGACAGACAGACAACAGACAACAGGACAGACAGACAAACAGAAAGACAGACAGAAACAGACAAAAACAGACAGACAGACAGACAGACAGACAGTCAGGCAGGCAGGCAGACAGACAGGCAGGCAGGCAGGCAGACACAGACCGAGATGGAAATAGAGATAGAGATGGAGATCGAGATAGAGACAGAGATAGAAAAACTGAAACAGACAGGACAGAGACGGACACACAGACGGACAGACAGACAGACAGACAGACAGGCAGGCAGGCAGGCAGGCAGGCAGGCAGGCAGGCAGACGGACCTAGCTCGAGTCAGAATTACAGACAGACATTCAGACAGACACACAGAGACAGACCTGGACAAAAAAGAGACGGGCAACGACAGATAGAGACAACCAAAGAGCAGAATCAAAGACATAGACAAACAGGCAGACATACAGGCAGGCTGACAAAAAAAAAAGAGCAAACCAACAATCAAACTAACTAAACAATCAACAGCGGCCAGCACAACGCAAACAAAATCAACTAAGAACCAGCCCTCGGCGCATTGACACATGGCTCTTCAAGGAACATGCGCCAGGCGGCCAAATAAAAGTTGTGGCAAGCGTTGGCTGGTCCTGCAAGAGCAGCAGCAAGCAGCCCAGTTCAAAATGAGCAATACTAGGTCCTCCAGTACAGCGCTTAGAATAAGTTGGTACCAACCCTTTTTCATGACGTCTATCTTAGTAGAAACCCTCCCCCAAAAAAGGGGAACTAGAATAACAACAAGCACCCCATCCCGGGGCCCATCCCCTTTTGATGCTCCTACCAAACACCGCATCCGGCCAAAAGGGTTTGTCTTGAAGCAGGTACATGTACCGCGCGAAATAAAAATGGCTTCGGTTTTCCCCCAGAGGCTCCTGGACCTTTCAATGGAAGAATTGATCTCTCCATTAGACACCCGCTTTGGTGGTTGGGGGTCTCAAAACCAGGATGTTTGAAGGCCCTAAATCAACCGAATTGGAGCCTCTGGGAACAGGGCTTCCCCGAAACGATCGCCTCCTTCCACCTCCCGATTCTGCCATCTGCATTTTCGCCCCCTGGAAAAAATAAATAAAATTATCAGTAGTGATACAGTAGATTCCCCAAAAAACAACAGAGGAAAAACAAATAGAAATATATATATATATATGTATACATATATATCTATATATATATACATATTATTTTCAGCCCATGGAAGGAATTCGCCGGACAAATCATTTCGCGACGAAGCGCGGCGAAGGGCCTCTTCGGGCTCGAGCTTTCCTAAGAGATAGCCATCCACCAGCTCCGAAGGCTCCAGTTGCCCGGACCCGTCCTCTACGCGCCGCCCGCGGTTTTAGTTTTGTCCGGATGAAACGCGCTTTTTGTTCTTCTCTTTTTTGGTCCGGAGGAAAAACGTTGGCAAAACCGGCGGTATGTCTGGAAACAGAAATTGGAGCCCCAAAATGGCGGAACGGTTTTCCTCTTGGCTTCCCAAGAAAGCCAGCCAAGAAGTGGTTCCAATTGCAGAGAAGAAGACAGACCCGAGCAAGTCGACTTGCGGGCTTGGGAGTTGGCATGTCCTGTCGTGCGTCAAAAGCTGCTTGGCTGGCCTGCCTTCCTGTAAGACGAGATCCCGGGCAACCAGACACCTGGCCCCAGCAAGGCTCATTGGCGCTTTTCCTTGGCCTCAGGGGGCACCCTACAAGCGTATTGGACAGGATCACGGGATGCGACATGCCCAAACAGGAACCTTGTTCGTACGCCATTATGAGAGCCTTGGCAGAAGTATACGATGTCAAGAAGGGACATGGGTGTACCTGAGCATTGCTTTGACCAGCAGAAACACCAACCTGATCTGACAATCAAAGACCCCATCCGTCGTCTGCACGTAAACAAGCGGACGGCATCGTGGATCGCGGGCGGAAACTTATCTATCCCCGTGGGCATACAACTGCGTACACGTTCTATTGGGCTTCAATATGGCAACAGGTCTGGAAGCTCCCCAGTGACTTTCGATGTGATTTGCCACGGTATTCTCACTTGCCCCAAGGACCTGCAAATAAA